GTCCGCATGCAGCAGATGAACGAGCGCTTCCTGCACCACACCAGGACCCTGGTGGAGATGAAGAAGGACCTGGACAGCATCTTCAGGAGGATCCGGTGGGAAACGGGGGGGGAACGGGCAGGGACACGGCCTGGGGGCGCTGGCTGGGGTGTGGGGGGGTTAAAACAGGGCACGATTTGGAGTTTGGGGGGCTGTGAGAAGGAAAATGTGTGATTAGTGCCGCGTGCAGGGAGTGGAGGCTGGAGCTTTGGATGGGCTGCGCTGCCTCGGGAGCGCGTGGTCACGAAATGTGGGATTCAGGAACACCCCGTGGGCTGGGAAGGGTGGGATGGGCTGCTCCAGGGGCCTGGGGAGGGAATCCCTCGGGATTTCTTTGTGTTGGCCACGGCTGCTGGAGGCTCAGCTCCAGATCCCTCAGCTCCCCACGGACTCGGATTGTTCTCTCCTCCCCAGGACGCTCAAAGGGAAGTTGGCAAAGCAGTACCCGGAGGCTTTCAGCAGTGAGTGATCCCTGACGCGCGGATTCACCGACTCGTGCAATGCTTTGCATTGGAAGGGACCTTAAATCTCATCCAGTGCCACCCCTGCCATGGCAGGGACACCTCCCACCGTCCCAGGAGCTCCCAGCCCCGTCCAGCCCGGCCTTGGGCACTGCCAGGGGTCCAGGGGCAGCCACAGCTGCTCTGGGCACCCTGTGCCAGGGTCTCACCCCTTCCCAGGGATCAATTCCTTCCCAAAATCCCATCTATCCCTGCCCTTTGGCAGTGGGAGCCATTCCCAGCAGTGTCCTGGCACTCCACGCTCAGTTTTCCTCCTGTGGGAACAGAGAACACGTGAGGCATCTCTCAGGAATCGGGAGAAGTCCACGTGGTGGCCCATGGCTGCTTCCCTAAAAGTCCAGAAAACTCCTTAATTCCGTTAAATCCAAGAAATTGCAAACAGCCGCTCGTTTACACGCTGGTGATTTAGGGAGGATATTTTTTTTTTAATCCCTGCTACAAGCAGAATCAGGGAATTTCTCTCCCGTTACCCCACCACAAACCTAACGCCTCCCTCTCCCCTCCCAGACATCCACGAATCCCCCATCCTGGAGGACGACGACGACTTCGACCCCGTCCCCAAGAGCACCACAACCACCATCGCTACCTCTGAGCAGAGCACCGAGTCCTGCGACACCAGCCCCGACATCATCTCCCCCACCACCAGCCAGGATTTCGAGGATTTATCCCAAGGCCAGTACGACGGCCCGGCCGTGAACGGACAGAGTCTGACAGATGAGGACACGGCCAACGGCCTGGACTAGGAGCCACGTCCTGGAGGACTTTCTATCCTGTATTTATATTTGTGTGTCGCTCTTAATTTTTTTTTTTTTTTTTTCCTCTTTTTTTTTTTTTTTTTTTCTCGGGAAGAGGGAAGCGAAGGCTGGGAGAAGCTGAGGGAGGAAGGTGCCGTCCTTCTGCCTCGAAACTGCCAGCGAGGTGTAAAACCTGCCTCTTGCTTCAGGGGGAATCAGTAAATCCTGGCTTGGAAACGCCTCTTGTCCTCGTTCCTGTGCTCAGGAGAGCGGCTAAACTTCACCGTCCGTGTAGATTTTTTGGTGCAGAAAAGCCGTTTTTGGGGCACGGGTGTTTCTGTTTCGTAAGGAATGCTGTCTCTGAGGCTCTGTGTGCCCACCAGCTCTGTCCCTGCTGCTGATGGACTCTTGCTGGCTGAGTTTTCCACCGCTGGAATGAGGCAGAGCCGTGTTTCCCTTTGGTTCTCACACTCAGCCCCTCACGTGGTGCTGCTGGTTGTTCCACAGGCAGGAACAGGAGTTCTCCAGATCTTGTTTTTCCACCAGCATTGTGGAGGAACTGCTTTGCTTTGGGGTCCTGATGGCCTGGGAGGGGATGGGAGCGGGGGGCTGGGGTTTGGGGCTGATCCTGGAGCTGTGGGGTCTGTCATGGGATTGCGGAGTCAGCATATGGGGATGGTTCTGGGGCTGTGGGGCCGGGCTGGGGTCCATGGGGTCGGTGTGGGCCCGGTCCTGGCACTTTGGGGCCTGTTGCGGGGTCAGTCCTGTGGCCGTGGGGTCGGTGTGGGTCGGTCCCTGTGGGCAGTGTCGGGTTTGGGGGCCGGTCCCAGGGGCGGTGGGCAGGGGGTCGGTCCCGGCGTCCTGCAGCCCCTCCCGTGCCCTGTCCCGCGGTGCCGGTGTCACCCCGGCAGTGACGGGACGGTCCCGGGGCGGTGCCGGTGTCACCCCGGCGGTGACGGGACGGTCCCGGGGCGGTGCCGGTGTCACCCCGGCGGTGACGGGACGGTCCCGGGGCGGTGCCGGTGTCACCCCGGC